ATTTTCTGGTGGATAAATTCTATAAAATTCTATTAAACAATAGTTGAATTGTTTAATTAATTGTGATTTGTAAGCATTTATAAAGTTAGTTTGTTAGATCATTGTTCCACAGAGTGGACCTCATGCAGCCCCTGTTTTATAGCAAGGAGTTTTACAAATAACATATGGACGTGCTTGTTGCTATTTGTCTACTTAATGCGGTTTCCAGGGCTCCGTGAGAGCAGAAAAGGACCAGATGTTCCTTTGCACCATCTGAAGGTCACCGGCATCAGTCTAGTGGCGTTGGTTGTGATCGAGGGCAGATGTTCCCAGGGTTATCCATTCCATATGGCTGCCACTCGTCCACTGGCCTTTTCACAGCACAGCGCTTGTAAACACGCTTCAGTTTGCTGTTCTCTTTTTTTCTGACCCTGTAAAACATGTCCTAAATCCAATCACCTAGTCCCTTTAGAGGGGATGATGTTGATGAATGGAAATGTGTAGTGGTAGTAGTGACCTATAAGCCCCTATTGAGATTACAGGCAGGCAAGCAGCCAGCCAGCCAGGCCTGGTCAGACCACTGGGAAACGGCTAGAGCTTAAAGAGGGATTGTTTGGATAGACAATAGTGTCTACCTGGTTTTAATCCCCGCTCAGAAAGAGTACAGAGGATTGGCAGAGTTTAATAAATGAAAGTGCTCCTATAATCAGGATTTGCCAAAGTGCCCCTTTGTGTTAATCGGACATTTTTTACAGCATGGTTTTTGACATCTGCCACAGCAAGTGGTGTTAACCCTCTGCTGGCCCAGCTGTACGCAGCACATTTGCACCAGACTTCATGCAGAGAAAAGCAAAAAGGGAGAAGTAAGTAAAGTTACACCGTTTAGTGTTTATGCACATTTCTGTTCTGTTCTGTACTTTAAGAGATGGTACAGAAATGTTTCTTCATAGCGTCTTTAGCGATTGTTGTTAAAAAAGCCTTATGCAGGTGTGTTGCAACATCCCTTTTTTTTTTTTTTAACCTTATAACGTATTCATATTTTATAGTGTGTCATAATGTACTTTGCATATACTCTATAGGTTTTAGCCAGATTGCAGCCATCATGGCACAACCTCATTACTTACTTAGCAGAGGCTAATAGAACGGGAATGTGTAATTACTTCAGAGCTAAAATAGAAAGCTGCATTTTATTTAATTAAAGTTCAGCGCATCAGCAGTAAAGCATAATAAAATTGTTTTAAAATCAAGGATTACAACAGTAAATCCCAAAGGGCCAGATGTGAGAATGGGAGGGGCCGCTGCATTCTGGGACCAGATTAAACAGAAAATCCCACAGGGCCGCACTGTCTTTTTCCTGCAGCTTAGGGGCTTGTGTGGATTCAACATGCTGTAATCCACCGATTAGCTGATATAATCACCTGTAAATACACCTTGGCCGGGACGTTACTCTCGGCCATTAGGCTCTGGTCTAATGCTCCACATGTTCGTCGGACCGTTTGCTGTTGAGACGGGTCGGATTTCACCTCATCTGAACTTTCTGGGAATTTGAAGCAGACGGTCGGCCCAGACAGACAGCTGTACTCACTGTGTGATCCAAATGAGTTCCCAGAAACTTAACTGGAAAATATAAATGCTCTTTGACTCCAAATTAAACCCAAACTAAGTAGAATATAAGTGGTTTGAAGCAGCATTGTAATTCTACTTTGTCTATTTGCCTATAAATTATAAACTTTTTTTACTCTTTACTCAAAGCACATTTAAACACTGCATGCTAATACTTGTAATTACAATAAATGTTAACATTTTACATTCAAAACTAGTTCAATATTTGTGCTTCGCCATTATATTTATGGTACTAAACCAAAGCTGAAGTTACAGGTGAAAAGGTAACGCTTACACAAACTTCAGAGAAAAGTAAATCACACAATAAATTTTGGCCTTGTGCTCTAATGGAGGTCGCTGGGCAGAAATGTCAGCACATGTTGGCAAGGCCAGAATAAGTCAAATAAACTTCAGTCTGTGACCTTTCTCCTGAGGTGTTGCGTACGTTTTGGTTATGCAGCTGTCATAAAGATGTGTTTTTGTCACTATATGATTTTATGTAAAATACACATTTATGAAATAT